GAACACAGCATCTACTACAATCTTGGTAAACTATTCAAACTGTTACTTTAAAAAGTACAAGTGATATGTGCATTCATTCTTTTTTAACGTTCATCCATAAGAGGTCACTGTGTGATACAATGAACACCTTGGTGTCAGCAGCATTCCTCTCCCTTCCCATATGCTCAGCACCAGGTGTGCAGTCACCTACAGTAATGTCCCAGCCACTACCCAGTTGCCTTTCATAGGGACAGTTAGGGCAGGCAATAAAGCAAGACGTGTGTGGGAGTTCTTCACTTTGATCGTGTGACCTTAGCCAATTTTACAATCACTTAAATGTACTTACTTTTTATTCCCCATTAATCTCAAATGGAATCCAAGAGTTTTACAACCCCCATAGACATTTTAAATAACCAGTAAAAAATACACAAAAATTTGGGAAACTGAGTTTGAACAGCAAAGATATAAGCTCACAAATGGCCAAGACTCTTCTAGTTTTCCAGGGTTTGGGGCCTCTATTTTAGAATCTGTTTCACTATGACATTGTTTTTTCAGTAGTTAGTAGACCTTTTCACAAGGGTGACTACAATACAGTGTGGGACATGGACAACTGTCAAGGTGACCTGCCCACCGGAACTTCTTAAGCATAAAGTTTTTGTGCTGCCATTTGCCATGAGATGAGAGGGAAATAATAGTCAGATGCAACTTAATGGCAACTGAAACCATTTTAGCTCAGTTCAGCTAATCGAAGATCTTCTTCACGGAGTGAGGTGACTTAAAGGGAAGTATTTCATTCAGAGATTTCCATGGGAAAACAGAAACAAAAAATTAAAAATAGCAATATGGAGATTTTCCAGTGGAAAACTTGTTCTTGTGGAAATTCCGCTTTCAATTGACAAATTGTTTTTATGGGAAATTCCTAAGCAGCTGTAGGCACAGCCCTCATGCTGAGAAGTTTAAAAGCAGCTCATGTCTGACCCAGTGCCCTCAGATTTCCCACATCAGATAAACTGCGAGAGCAGAGCCCTCATCTTTTCCTTACTCCCATGCATACCCTGCAGCACGCAAGCAGTCCCACTGTGGGCACAACAGTATATTGACTGCAGCGGCAGTACGTATGTGGTTACAGATGGGGTGCTTGAAGGATTAATCTTTTAATGTCCCAACTCAAGATTAATTACAGGCTCTTATATATAAACTGTCCCTAGTGCTCTGATACTGGTAAAACTGTCATTGGCTTCAGCAACAGGTTTACCTGCAATAAGGATTGCAGGCTTGGGAGAGCCTTCAGTGAAGCTCCTCATAGTAGACTGCACCAGGGAGAAAGAACTTGGGGCTAACTTTTATGTGATTATGTGAATGGTCACAAATCACGGATATAACTCCATTGCTATTAATTGTTTTACACTGGCTTAAACCTGTCAATAAGAACTACACGCTCCACAGCTAACATTACAGAGACTAAGACAAACATTTTTAGTGAGCTTGCTAAGGGTCTTCTAAATTTGCAGGAGGCGCACTGTCTCCTTTACAGAGTGATATTAGAAAAGTGTAAACCATTCATTATAACGCATCTTCTATCAACCACTTTAGCATGAATCATCATACTGTGTAAACAGGCTAGGAATCATATTTATGGCAGGGCTCAAAGTATCTCAGAAAGTTAGAGGCAGAAAAAAGCTATTAGAGTAGGCAGGCTTTTACAACCCCTCACAGTCCAGAAAGGTACTGAGCACCTAAATCGTTCACCTAAACATTTGCAGGGATTTACAGGATTTCTGTACCAGCCCTGTATTTTCATACTAATGCATTTTTAACACAAAATGAAATGTAGATCCCTGTGAGTAAAAAAGTTTATTCTGCTGACTGCAGGGGACTCATCTTCACAACTTACTCTGAAGAGTAGATGTTGCCTCTTTCCTGACTACCTTCTGTCCCATATAGCCTATCCAACAGTAGAGCGGATCCAGCATCCCCCAAACCGAGCCGAGCTGGAGGAGCTCAAGCACAGCGGAGCTGTGGCAGGAGTGGGAGCCCCAAGGTGCCATTGAGGAGGCTGTCGGCAGCTGGCCGCCTGCCAGGCGCTGCAGGCTACGAGGTGAAGGAGTGGACAAAGGCCACTGCTCAGCTGCTACAGTGACCTTCAGCTATGCTGATCTACGATGGGAATGCACCCCGTGGCCATGCTCGTGTTTCTAAACCACATGCCTTCTTGGCCATCTGCAACACTACGTACACACATATGATACCAAGTTCGCACACAGGCACAGCCCATGTCCGTACTGCACACGAGGCGATGAGTTCCCCTCCACGCCTCACCACAAAGTGGCTAGCCAGCTACATCAGGGCTACTGCTGCTCTGCACCCGAGGAGCACGGGGGTGGACGTGCTCACTGAGGAGCGATGCATGGCTGTGAAAATTATACACGCCGAGATCAAACTGCAAGCAATATGAATTTCAGAGATCAGTTAAAAAAATCCTGTATTGCTCCACCTAAAGGAGTTATTCTTTTGGGGCATCACAGTAATAAAACACAGTCGCAATGAAAACCTTATTGCTACAAGCTTTGTTATTGAAGTGACAAAAGGGCATTTATTTTCAGAGTCGGACACTCGAAGGAATACCCCACATGCTAGAGAGTGTAAGCTGTCTTTTCCAGCATGTAACAGAGAGAGTTCTACTACACTGAAACACATGTGATAAGAGAAGAGGGCCCAGGCTCTTCTCCATATTCTCTGCATACCTGTTACTATCACACAGCTGCTCTCAAGTCTACAGTTTCCTGTGCAGTACAAACTGCATACCACTTCCCCTACGGAAAAAAAAAAAAGCCTTGCTTGTTCTTAATTGACGATGGAAATACTGTCATATTTTCCACTAGCCAAGCCTGAAACCATTACTGAACGAACCTTCATTAATTTTTCCACAACATTTTGCAGAAATGTCAGGAAACAGCTGCACCAGAAATGCTTAACTGTCCTTATCACTAGGGCTTCATTGACGAACCTCAAATTACACAGGTTTTCTTCTTTCAAAACTCTACATTCAATGATATTTTTTGTTATTCTTTAGTTGACTGTCTCAATGCACTACTTTCTCTTCAAAGGTATCTGATTACACAGGTTCAGTGGCACAGAGACATTTTATGACCAGTGGAAGAACTTGTACAGTTTGGAGCTGCATACTTCTAGGAAAAGATTGCTTCCTGCAGATTGCTCAGCTGTGTCTTTCTTGGAACAAATTCAATGAAATTCACAACTTGCAGTCAAATTGTATTTGCCAGTCAGACTGAATTCATTACACTGACATAAAGTCTTGCTGCATTTTCTTACTCCCTTCCTGTCCTACCCTTTTCCTTTCCCCTCTTCTCTCCCCACACTCTCTCTCTCACCTCTTCTTTGAGCTAAACCATGTGTCAAAACTTATCATACAATGCACTGTACATTTTCTGGAAAAAACACAAGTGGAACAGTATACAACATCATTCCAAACATGCAAACACTGAGATGATAGAAGGCTTGGTACAAAATAAGAGTGCAGCCATCTGGAGATAACTGCTAGATCTGAGATTCCCAGCTGGCTAAAACTTTGCAGTCTCAGAACTTTTTAGCGAAGCATCAGTGAGCAAGAGACTCCGCTCACACGGATTTGCACAGGGCACTGGATATTATGTAATTTTTCAAAAATGTAAATTCTTCAAATTTCTGAAAAGAACACAGCAACAAAAAGCAAGGTTCACAGGATTACTTTTAAAGACTGACATAATACTATAGTGTCTTGTTTATACTTTGAAATATTTAATTTAGTATTACTACAGCATGGAATGTTACAATAATCCTGCATATATGTCACTGGCAGATTTTAAATGGCAATTGTTCACTCTGTCTTTATTGAAGCTGTAAGCCTTGAATCTGTAACGTTAGGCTATTTTCAGACAGAGGGAAATATAGATGCGAATAGGTATATACACGTATTGGAAGTTACATGAAATTAATCCCATCAGGTGTGGTTGAGTGTTGATACTGTTATCACATCCTACCCCTAATAAGAGGTAGGTTGCTTGCAGAAATGATATGGCCACATAAATAGAGGTTTATCTAGGTATTACAGAGAAAGAATCCTTCGTGCTGCCTGTAATTCAAAACGATTTGCATTTCTTGCTTTTTAAATGGGTCCCTTCCACAGCAGCATGCATTGCAGCACACAATCCACAGGCAGCTCTGCTCAGAAAGAGCCAGCCACTGATGACCTCACCTTGGGCTAGGTCAACTCCCGAGCGTCTTCATTGCCTTCAGCAGGTATAGGTACAGGGGGCAGATCCTGGCCCAGAATGCCTAACATAGGCCAGCATTGCTACTGAATTGGTGCAGTGCTGGCTACAAAAAAAAAGATCTGTTTTTAAATTACTCTACCAAGATATTTGCCTGGATAGCAGAAACTGCAGTACACTATCTCCTACTTAAAATACGCATGAATATATATGGGTTCTAGTTACAAGATATGAAATACTGCCAAAAGTATCCAGGTTTTTTAAGGATTCAGTTTTATAATATGCCATGCCGAATTTCTCCTTCACGATACCCTTATCTGTCTCTGTTCCAGTTTGAAAGCAGCAGCTTGTGGTGCCAGAGCATTTCAAGGACCATGTCCTTCCAATATACGGCACGTTAATGACCCGCCGGCTATCATACAGCTGCCCGCGGCTGCACGGGAGACGCACGAACCACATCTTGTGTGTGGGGGGAAATGAATCCAAGTTGTTAGATTTCACTAAACAAGCCCTGATTTCTATTTTCTGGGGGGAGCTCTGAAAGACCACTTCTGCACCGCAAGTGCACCTCCCCGCCAGCAGAAGGGTGTCGCAGCTTCCCGAGGGCACAAGGGCCGGCTGGCGGGCGGCACCGGCGGCAGACGCAGGCTTTTTTCTTCCACCTCTCGTCCGGCACCGGCCCGCGGCGAGGAACGC